GTTTGCTTCATCCTTACCTCATGCTTACACATAAGACTTCAAAGGTGGGTTTGCTTTGTTTATTCTTTAACTTATACGGCCTCACATGTTTCCTCCACACACCACCACCTCAATTATCCAACGTCGTTTCCCTTTACTTCCACCTCCTGCTTCGTTTTGCGGCCCCATATCGCCGCCTCATGTTTCCTTTTATCTCTACCCTTTTTCTTAGAAAGTAATTCCTTCTAAACACTGTCTCCTGATTTCTCTCTTGACGACACCTATTCTTTGGTTTGATGCGCCCAAAAGCACCTAAATCAACAATTTGACGTCCATCTTCATTCAAAATTGCAATTAAGGCTTATCAGCAAGCTACTTGCAACCTGCCTCATTTGATGGTTTGTAATCAACCATTTGTTGTTTGGTTTATCCTAATATTCTCTGATGAGCATCAATGGAATTACAATTTTTTGGGTTTCGATTGGCCCTCCTGATGTTTTTAATCTGATTTTGGTTCCACTTTTCGTTTTAGGAAGATTACGAGAGAGTTAGTGCTCCAAAAAAAATGATGAGGTAATCTAACAGGAAAGTTTTTTGTAATCGAAGCTGAAGGAAACGGAGCATGAGATTGCTGACAAGACCAATTGGATCTTCTAAGGTGGTCTTTCTTTTCATAAATTTGTGTTAAACGGTAACGTGCAACTTCTCAAAACCGAACCAATCCAAAAGTTAAACCAAGAACCATTTTGAATGAACACATGAATTTTGGAATGCTATTTTCTGCTTATGCAAGGCATGTGATTTGGGTGCATTATCGTTTTTTATGTTAAATGGCTACAATACCCCACAGACTTCACCAAAAAGAGCCTGAATATTTTCTTATTTACCCCAACATTAAAAAGGTTTTGGGATCGAATCCAAGATCAAGTTTGAATCCAAATTAAACTCATCAATCATAGAATAACCCAGTAGCATACTGAGAGTCCTTTGCACAAACATGTTTAGGCACCACCCTTTTATAAACCTATATGTTTTGGTTTTGGTTAAAATTTTCACTATTTCAGCCGAATAGTTAAGCCGCTAAATATTTAATTTCATATATTGTTTCTTGTTATAATCAATAATTACATTCATCTCAAAAATCGAAATTCATAACTTATACGAATTAATTTGATTCTATAGTTAAACATCTAGTTGTGAGGAATATCACACTATTTGAACCGGTGAAATACTAAACAAGCTTCACGGCTAGCAAGTAACAAGACGCAGGTACAAAACAAGGTAACAAAGTTACGAACGGATAAATGGGGAACAACACCAAGTAGTCCAACTACATCAAAGTCATGAATAGTTTCCGTTTTATCGGACAGTTTCCCCGATCCGCATCAAAGTAAGAATTCAACCACATTGAAGAATTGCTTATATACGAGGAATGTCACACTATTTGAAAATCTACTCCCTGCTTTAGTCGCTAAATTGCAGCCTGTTAAATCATGATCAATACTCATTGTCATTATCGTAAACACAACCAGGTGTCAATTGAATGTTTATGCATCTATCTTTAAGAATGGTTGCTGATTGAATCCTTCCAAGCCTCATTCTCTAAATGAAGCATGAAACTTTCAATGGAACATTCTTCAGCCATTTGGTTGAAACATCTCTCGTAAAGGTTAGTTTGGAGTCGAGTTTCATGTGCAACATATCCATGATAAACTTCTCATTCATGGCAAGATTAAAATGAAGTTGATAAGGACTTTTGAGGCATATTTAGCAGACAAGCCCCGTCAGTCAGCACAACAATGAAGAAGGAAACACACAGTTAAAACACACTTCTTGTATGTTATGATTAACTTGAAAACAGATTACAAGGGAAAGCCATATATGACAAACTTAAAAAAGGTAAACTGCTACTACATTACCACTAACTAGGAAACAGGAAAATGCAATTGGATAACTACCCACTATCTAGACTAATTCAACAAAGGGAAAATGCAAGACATAAAAGAAACATAAACAAAAAAAGGTAAGGATAGTGGCAAGCACATGAGTTGCTTGCATGAGTTTGCATAAGTTGAATGTTGCACGTTTAATAATCCCTCCCAGCATCAACTTCTACCATACCCATCATGTTGTTGAATTCGATTAGCTTTCCTCTTGCTAGATTCTTGGTTAGGATATCTGCTACCTGTTTAGTTGTACTCACATATTGTAAATCTATTTCACCCATTAAGACCTTCTCTAATGAAATGGTAGTGAACTTCAATATGCTTGGTGCAAGCATGAAAGGTAGGATTTTCAGAAAGTTTTATGGAGGAAAAATTATCGCATAAAAGTGGAATGCTATGATCAAATTCCTGCAATTGAATGAGCCAGGTACACTCTTGAGCTACCATGGCAGCAACTCTATATTTTGCTTCCGTTTTGGATAAAGACATGTTCGGTTGACGCTTGCTAAACCATGATATAATGTTATACCCAAGCATGAATACATAGTCGGTTGTTGACCTTCTTGTGTTCAAATCACCAGCATAATCAGTATCACAAAAACCCATCAATCTGCAATTTGGTTCCCTCTTGAACTGAACTTCATAGTTGAGGGTAGCTTTGATGTACCTTAATACTCTTCGTGTAGCTCCAAGATGAGGCTTTCTCGAATTCTACATGAATTGGCTTAACACACCAACTGCAAATGATATACTTGGTCGCATTAAAGTAAGATAAATAAGGCTCCCCACCATCTTTTTGTGTAATGCTGCATCTTCTAACTTACTTCCTGATTATGCATACAATTTAGAATTAGTATCCATGGGTGTCACAGTTGCTTTACATTCCAACATTCTAAACATCTTCAACAAATCATTACAATACTTTCGTTGATGCAAAACTATGCCTTCATCATCATAGCCTAGTTTGAGTCGTAGGAAGTGTCTCAGCCTTCCTAAGTCCTTCATGTGGAAACGAGTGCTCAGATTCTATTTGAGTTGGCTGATCATATCTTCTAAGTCACCTGTAGTTATCAAATCATCGACATAAACGAGAACCAATGCACCTTTGCTTCCAACCTTCTTCACAAATAAACTTGCATCTGCTGGAGTACTTGTATACCCGTAGTGTTCAAGAAATTCAACCATTTTCCAAACCATGCCCTTGGAGATTGTTTTAGCCCATATTAGGCTTTCTTGAGTTTACACACATAACTTGGCTGACTTTTACTGTCAAAACCAAGAGGATGATCCATATGGATTACATGATCTAAGTCTCCATATATGAAGACATTGTTGACGTCCATTTTCCAAATCTTCCATCTTTTACTTGCCGCCAAATCTAGCAAAACCCTAATTGTGGTTAACTTAGCCATCGGGCTAAAAGTATCCTCGTAGTCCAACCCATATTGCTGTGAAAAACCACGGGCTACCAAACGTGCCTTATACCTTCCTATTGAACCATATGCATTGTGTTTTATCTTAAATACCCACTTGCATGAAACTGGCTTCACATCATTTGGCTTTGGAACCAAATCCCAAGCCTGGTTCCTAATTAGGGCATCGAATTCTTCTTTCATTGCCAAGACCCATTCTCGTTTGGTTGCAGCTTGATCATACGTATCTGGTTCGCTTTCTATTTCTTCAACTATTGCAACATTGGCATATCAAGGGTTTACTTTCCTGACTCCTGATGATCTTTTGGGATTCTGAGTCTCGTTGTTGTTATCATCATTAACAACTTCATTTGACTACTCCAATGATTGATCTTGAACATGAACATCATCATTATCAATTACCATGTCACTTCCTTCTACATCTAGTCTCACGTTTGATGACTCCATTTCTTCTTTAAGGGGTTTAGAATCAGGAAGAACCCCATGCTCCAATGATTGATCTTGAACATGATCTTTTGGGATTCTGAGTCTCGTTGTTGTTATCATGATTAACAACTTCATTTGACTCCCACTACAAGAAAAATGACTTACAGTCACACCAAAAAAAATGTGACCATATGCGTATAGTGACATTTTATTTTTTCACTGAAAGTGTGACGGAAGGTGACGTCATCGTATGGGTCTTATGGTCACTTTAAAATGTAGTGTCCGTATGATATGAAAACATGTGGCCGTATTATAAAAGTGTGGCAAATGTGTATGGAATTTTGTTCCTTAAATATCCAATATTATAGCGTTAAACCGTCAGTAGTCACATTTATTTAGTAAATGTGGTGACTGTATATCACCAACTTGCGACATTCATGATGTTTTAGTGTAGTTGTTTTCTTTTATATTGTCACACGGTTTAAATTTTATTAAGACTATTGTGTATCTTTTGTAAACATGTAATTACGGTGAGTGTGACCATGTTTGCTAAATAGTCACATGTAATTACTTCCATAAGTGGCGAATTGCTAATTATTAGTCACAAAAAACAATCAATTTTTGTGACTATAACCTATCGTATACAGACACACAATTAAGTGAAATACAATCATAAGTATTATAAAGACACACATTTTGTTAAAATTAAGGACTATTCGGTATCGTATTAAGACTATTGAGTATATTTTAGACACATATAATTACGGTGAACATGTCCATGTTCGGTAAATGGACACATATAATTAATGATGTAAGTGACGATTTGCTAGTATTTAGTCTCAACAACAATCAATTATGGTATTTATTTGCCACATAAATTGTTTTTCATGTTGTTATTGTTTAACTTAGTCACAAAAATTTTAGAAAAAACATCATCTTAAAACAACTGTAAACTCATAATTCTTGTATATTATGGCTATTGTTAACCATTTAGCCAAATGATGTAAAGTAACCATTGTGTAATTTTAGAGACATTGAAAACCTATAAAACATGGCCAAAATTATATTAAAGCCACAATAATTTAATTTTTATTGTTACTTTTTCTATATTGTAGATACATCAAAATAATATATATAAATGAAAGTAACCAAAACCGACAATATGAAACAATATCAAAATTCAGAATTGGATATTATTAATAATTGAAATCCAAATCCATACATTAAATTCGTAATTAAAATACCCAAAAAAAATGAAAATTATACTATTGGCAAGTATTAAAATATGATAAATAAAGAAAAAACATCATAAACCAAAAACTAGACATAACTAGGCATTCATCTTGTTGGTATTGGTCCTTGTCTTCATGAGAAGGCTATTGCTCGATATAAAAGTTTCCTTGTGCTTCTTTGAGTTTTGAAGTTGTCTTGAGGTGATTTTACATTTGATACCTATACCAACAACATTGAAACAAAATTGAATAAATAAAAGACATAATAGAGTAGTTTACGAAGGAAAAAAAACCATTAATGTATGATTCTTAATCATAGTAGAAACAAGGAGTTAAAAACTTACTATGTTCCGACAATTCGATTGGTGTTTACTTTAGTTTGATCCACTCCAACAATCCTCAATAGACCAAAATCAGAAATCTTAGGGTTCATATCAAAATCCAGCAAAATTTTGCTACCCTTCAGATCACGATGAATGATTCTTAATCTTGAATCTTCATGTAAACTAGAAAAGTTTCCCTATGCTCCGCATGGGTTGGAGTATTCAAGTTCTTCGGACTTCATTGTAGTTTTTTTGGGGAGTGAAAGTCGAAGGTGAAATAATTGACGAAAACTATCATATATATAACATGGTGAAAATAGATATTAGAATTACATAGGTTGTTTATTTACATACTATTCTGGTTTTTGTAGCCTTTTCTGGAACTACAAGGAGATCAAAAAATTCACGAACCATTTGCATACATCCAGTCATTGAATAAGAAAAAACCTGGCATAGATTCTAGCCCAGCAGTTGGAAATTCAATCTCCTGTGGTTGAAAGTTGTGGAGTATAAACTCCATAGAAACTATAGACATGAAATTTTTTGCATCTACCATCTATAAATAAGAATAAGTAATGAACTAACTCACCATCAACTGTGTTTCATCCTTCAAAGCTATTTGAGTTGCTTCTTTTTCCTGTTAATCACAAAGTTTAACTTTAAGTTTTAGATACTTTATTGTTGTTATGAATCTATGTCAAAAGAACAAACACATTTTAAGCACTATTGTTGACTATACATGACAATCTGATCAAACGGAAACATTTAAATGAAAAAAGCATAAAATAAAACTAAGTCCAAGTTGACTGAACAATATTCAGTCAACTTTGTAAAGGGAAAGTTGAAAATAATAGAACCAAAATGCCATTTCGAAGAGGAAAGAATGAACAACTTACAAGAAGCTGGTATTATTCTGCCTCACAGAAAAGCTCTGAACAATATTCTGCCCCACGAGCTTTGTCGATTTGATTATTTGAATGAGGTCACCGAACATCACTGTGTAAGACACGACGTTCCTTTCGGGCATCTTCATGAAAAGTGTTTCTGCTTCAGAAACCAGACCTTCTTGTATATATCCTCTAATCATAGCAGTCCATGAAATAATGTTTCTGTAAGGCATTTTGTCGAACACTTCTCGGGCTTCCTTTACCATCATGTTCTTCACATAGCCAGAAATCAAACCGTTCCAAGACACAGTGCTTCTTTTAGGCATTTGTTCGAACAGATTTTGGGCTTCATTGGGTTGGTTGTTTTGGAAATAACATGCAACCATGGAGTTCCAAGACACGATGTTTTTTTCCCGTAAACTATCGAATACTTGGCGGGCATTGTGAATTTGGCCAAGGCGGCCATACTGTGCAATATGAAGATTCTCTGAAATTGAAATCAAATTACAAGCAGGAAGATTATTATCTTACCGTAGAAATCAACGTGGTTGCATTCTTGCAGAGTAATTGAAGAACAACATACTACTAACCCTCCTCGGTCGGAGACTCAACTAAAATCAGGGGAAAGAGGAAGTGACCGAGAGCAGCCAAAATGAAATTGAACAAAAGCATGAAAGAATTGAAGAATATCGAACCTGAATCGAATTTGTGGAGTGCATCATATCCGATTGTTTCTTCCTCCAAAGCGCCGACTGATACATATTCGTCATCTGAAACCTCGAAACCAGGTTACCAACACCACCAAATAGGGATTACTGAGCGAGAAGATAGCAGAGCATATGAACGAAAGTGGAGATATATGTTCAGAATTTTGAGAGATAAAGGGAGCGAGCAGGGATTTTGAGAGAGCCGGGAACGGTTTTTTTAGGGCAAATCAGGGGGGGCGAACGGAAGTCTAAATGAGTAATTGTAATTGTATAAAAAAGTTCAAAATTTTTGAAAATTTTCAAAATTTTAAAAATAAAGATAAAAATTATCCTAGTAAAATATTTTAGGTTTCAACAAGTTCAAAAAAATAGGAAAAATTAATTTAATAATAATCTTCTTACCTTTTTAATTTTTTGAAATTCGATTAATGATGATAAACCATGAATTACTCTTAAATCAATATATTAATCCGGGCGGTGTAGGGGTGAGGTAGTGTAGGGTATATGTATGGACATGGAGTGGGTGGGTGGGTTATTGGGTGAATACGACACTAAAAGTTACACAATAATAATAGAGTAATACATATGGGTGTAGGTGTGGGTGTGAGTGTAGGGGTTGGTGTAAAAGTAGCTCGGGATATGGATATGTATATGAGTGTGGGTATGGTTATATAGGTATATGTATGTGGACGGTGGTAGGGGTTGTTATGGGGGTATAGAGTGTGGGTCAGTGGAGAAGGGTGAACTAAGCATCAACATCGGTGTGGGCTTGCAGTAATTAAAGTATAGTTATGTGCTTCGGGTATAGGTGTAGCTAGGTATGGAGGTGAGGGTATAGGTAGGATAAATGTAGGGTAAGGGTTGGGGTAAGCATGTTGGTGTGGGCGAGAGTATGGACATCGGTAGGGTGCTAGGTGGTTGGTGTTGGGGCAGGGTGTGTGGGTTTGTCGTATAAAGGTGGAGGTGAGTTGGAGGTAGGGTGGGCGCCATCGTAGGCTTGTAAGAATAAGTCTTAAGCCCTAAGGCATAAGCGTTAAGCGTTAAGCTATAAGCTATAAGTTATATTCCCTAAGTTATAATCCTTAATATCTAAGCCAAAGCCATAAGCCTTAAGCATGAATCTAAAGATAAGGCATAAGTCACATGCCTTAAACCTTAAACCTGAAGCCATAATCCCTAAGAAATAAATCATAAGTCATAAGTCATAAGCCACGAGGCATAAAGCAGAATCCCAAAGCTATACGCCTTAAGCCATAAGGCCTAAGGACTAAGCCCTAAGCTAACCATAAGCTATAAGTCATAATTCATAACTCATAAGCCGTAAGACATAAGGCCTAAAGCCCCATGCATAAACCTCAAACCATAAGCCTATAAGCCTTAATTATGTCATAAGAAATAAGACCTAATCCATAAGTCATAAGCCATAATCCCTAAGTCTTAAATCCTAAGCGATAAGCCATAATAAGTTATAAGCCACAAGCCCTAAGCCTGAAGCCTAAAGACGTACTCTAAGCCTTAAGCGTAAATCCATACACTCTAAGCCCTAAGTCATAAGCCTTAAGAATCAAGTTATAATCCATAAGCCATAAGCCATAAGCGAAGTTACAAGACTTTAGCCTTAATCTACAAGACATAAGATATAACCTATAAGCCATAAGTTGTGAGGTATATTCGTTAATTCGTAAGACCTAAACCATAAGCCATAAGTGGTATCCCTAAACCACAAGCCACTTGTCATAAGCCAAAAGCCCTAAGCTATACACATTAAACCATGATTTATAAGCCTTAAGCCTTTAGCCATAAGTTAGAAGCCACAAGCATAAGCCTTAAGCCCTAAGCTCCAAATCCTACATCTAATCCCTAATCCACAAGGCATGAGCCCAATGATATAACCCATAAGCCTTAATTATAAGGATAACCTATAAACAGTGTTGTAAAACTCGCCAAGTTGGCCGATTACTCCTCCGAGTACTCGCTACTCGGCCCCTTGCCGAGGCGAGTTACAGAATCCCAAGTACTCCCCGATTGGCCCCTTATTGAACTGAGTAGTGTTGTAAAACACGGTCAACTCGGTGATTAATATGTATAATATAGTTAATGATTTATTATTTAAAACACACATGTGATTATTACTACATATATATATATATATATATATATATATATATATATATATATTAAATTTTCAGTAATTATTCACGAAGTGAGACCATTATGTGTTTTTTTTATTCACATATATCTAATTTTGTTATATATTTCAATCAGTTTATGATTTTGACATATATAGTTTCCCTAAAAATATTTTTACATAAATTAGTGAATTACCGAATCCGAGTACTCCCGAGTACTCCCGGGTACTCACTACTCGGTAGTCGGCCGAATAGGTACCGAGTAACGAGTTCTACAACCATGCCTATAAATCATGTGTGTTTGTGTCGACACGTATTTCAAATTCATGTTGTGTGCCTTACACGAGTAAGACATGAATTTACCCATCTAAACACATATAACACAAGTACAATTTTCATGACACACCACTCGTATATGACACATATAAACACAAAAATATTTTAAAAACTGTAAATTTTCATCCTAAATTCAAAATTAGTAAATCAAAATTTAAAGATAGTATATATATATATATATATATATATATATATATATATATATATATATATATATATATATATATATATATATATATATATATATATATATATATATATAGGGAAAGGATCAAATGAAAACACCAAAAAGGTTGAGAACGCGAGAACACTTCTGGACCAATCATTTTACAAGGGTATATTAGTAATTGCATATTTAATTTGAATTATAACAAATCTTAATCTCCTAAATTTTAGCAATATTAATTACAGTTACTTAAAATAATAGATTAACGGATTTGTATTTTATTTTTTTGTTAATATATAACGAAAATAATTTTTATTAACTTTTTGTTAAAAAGGTCTATTTTTTTAATTTATCATTCATCAGATATTATATGTATAAAGATTGAAAAAACACTTTTTCTTTTGTATTCATAAATGAAAGAAAACATACATTAAATTAATTTTTTTCAACAGTTTTATTTGGTTTGATTATATTAATTGTGAAGGATTATATATAACAATAAAAGATGGAATGAGTAAAACACCATCCAAAAAAAATAACTAAAAATAAAGACTCAATTCAGTCGTAATCATAAACATATAAAAGCACATTTACAAATATAGAAAACCAATACATCTGGAATCATTAGTGAATAAAGGAAAATGTAAAGATAAAAAAACTACTTTAGTTGTAATCACAAATGACTGAAGAAGATAAAAAATCTAGTTTGCTGTGATTTGTAAACATCCTCAAACAAACTTACAATGCAATGCAATTTGTAAATTCCTCAAATCAAAAGAAAAGAATAAGAATCAGTTTAAGTGTTCTAGTAAATCAGGTACCTTGTCAAACGTGAAAACCCTATCGATTTGCATCCCAGCAACACTCTGTGAAACCGCAACTTCTCTTTGATACTTATTACACGTTACCACCTGAGGCGCGTTGTTCCTTAACTCGTCATCACTAAAAGGCCTAACAAACAATCATAGATCCACACACGAATTAGATTATCAAAAAGGGAATCTCGAAACCGTAATCGAAATCAGGAACAAACAAAAGCGAAAATAGAGGATTAGATTCACAGTACCTGCATCGAAGAAGGACCTGAACATTGACGCCCTTTTCATGGCGACCGGACATCTCTGCAAACAGTCAGTGTGTGTGTGTGTTTGTGTGTTGTGTAGAAGATGGAGAGATTAGCCCAAGAATCGAGAGAAAGGCAGGCTCCTCATCTGGACTTAGCGGCGCCTCTTCTGGTGACACCGGTGATGGACGAAAATGGTGGCTGCAGCGTGAGGTGATGATACGAGAAAGATGGAGTCGGCTTTATTTTGAAACCCTAGAGAGAGAGAAGAGAAAGGGGGAATATAGATACGAGAAAGATTAAAGCAAAAGGGTGAAAGGGAGAGAAATTATAGGAAATAGGTACACTTGCAATTCCTATTATGCCCTTCTGATCATTTAAAATATACACTTTAATACCATTAGTTTTAAATTTTTTCATAAATCGTCCCTTTAATAATAACCTTATATCTAAGTATTTAAATGGTCCAGATCTGTTCTCGCGTTCTCAACCTTTTAGGTGTTCTCATTTGATCCTACGCCTATATATATATATATATATATATATATATATATATATATATATATATATATATATATATATATATATATATATATATATATATATCCCCCCCCCTTCCCCTTCCCTTTGAATTTTCGTTTTCCCCAAAATATTTTTTCCCAACCCAAAAATTTTCAAAGACCCGCTATCTACAATTGTGGTTTGTTTCTTCAACCTCCAAATTAACCCGCTATCAGGAGTTCCCTCTCGATCTCTCCCAAATAATTCATGACCCCTCTTTCTCCTTCATCTCTTTCTTCATCGATCTACTCAACCGCATTGTCTTTGGTCTGCCAATCAACACGATCGCTAGTACTCAATCTCTCTATCTCTCTACTCTGTCGCTCTTGTCTCTCGCCACCATCACTTTATCTATTTCGCTACTATTCTCTCTTGCCAGTGCACAACCCACCACCAGTGATTTGTTTCATCACCACCATCAGCTATCCCCTCCAACGAAGGCATCCACCGGTCGACGCTCTCGTCCGTCTATAACACTATCCACCATCGATGCCTCCATCGTCGTATGGTCACTCCGTCTTCTCTGTGTGTTCTTCTACAGCAAGTAAGTGAAATTTTTGTTTAAGTTATTCTGAAGATCATGCTTGGTACACAAATCAACGCCTCTACCTTCATGTATGTGTGTTCGTCTGCAGTTTGATTCCACCGTCATGTCTGTGTTTGTTCATCTATAATCGTTTTGTTTTTAGGGTTCAATTTAGCAAAGGGTTGGTGTTCTTGTTTACTCACATTACAACAAAAGATGAATCCTAGACAAAAGGTTAAATCAAGGTTGTTGATCAAGAAAAGTGAAAATTATTTGTTGGGAAGAGATGTGACTATGGAATTGAAGAATGTCTTGATGATAAGAGGAACCCTTCATTCAGTTGATCAGTATCTCAATATCAAGAAAAATTCCCTTACATGGTACGATTCTCAATTTTTCATTATTTTTGTGTTTTTCGTTTTAGGTTGAGTCTTACATTGATCTTAGTAGGTTATGTAGAATTGGATCTTTATTTTTTCCTTCTAGTGCCTAGTGGTCAAAGGCTCATAGATGATTTTAGATTTTGATTGAATATGATTTGTAACAAACCTCATATCAACTGCTTTGAGTTCGAATTAAGCACCTCAAAGATCCATTATATATAGTAAACATAAATTCCATACTCCTGCTAGTAAGATCCATTATATGACCAAATGTACAATTTGCTCATTTTAGTCCGATTAATAAAAAGGCAAATTTTTGGTCAATTTAAACTTCAGTTGGTACAAAGTTTCCCTTTGAGATTGGTTTTGTCATTTTGACCATTTAAGTCAATTATTGACATGTTATTTTCATCAGGTTAATCAAAATAGTCAAAAATTTTGTCATTTGAAACATTTCTTTACAGGTAAGAAGTTTCGCAATTCGACCGTTTTCGTCATTTTGTCCCTTTAGGTCCATACTTGGAATGCTAGTCAAAATGACCATTGTGGTCATTTTGCTTGGTTTGATTAGGTAAGAAGAAAAAGAAAAATCTCAGTTGCCATTTACCATTTCAAGGTTTTTCTCATTTCTCATTTTATGTCTTAAATTACTAATTTGCCCTTGGCCTTATGCATGTTTTCACATCCTTAACAATCTCCTTCCACGCCCTTCAGCCTCTTAAACTTCATGCATTAAAACTTATAATTTGCATTTTATGTTTAATACTTGGAAAGCCAAAGTTAGTTGACTAAAGGAGAAAGAAAATTTCTTGGAAGTTTGCTCGGAAGTGCAGGCTAGTAGCTTCCGGTTCTCCTTCGGAAAAATGGTCCATTGGTTGATGTCACGTGTTTCTTTTAGCATTAGTATTGTTTACTTTTGATTTCGACACACATAAGCAATTAAAGTATGACCATAAACTACTGATAGTCATACCATAATTATACTTATCAGACATTTTCTGTTAAAGCAAGTTGTATTCTTTTCATTTTTAATGGTGTATGATCTGGTGCAATTAAAAGAATAGATGACAAAAAGGGCAATTTGGTCCTTTCTTATAGCTCTTATTCAATACAACTATATTATTATTTGTTTTTGTTTTTGTTTTTTTTTTATTTTTTTTTGGTTTTTTCAGAAATTGTTTCTAACTTTACAAAACTACCATTCAATTTTTTTCATTAATTTATACAACACTTTAATTGCAAAAAAAGCAATGTACTTTTGTAAAATGGCATGATTGAACTTTTTGTTCATTTTTTATTCCGCCAAATGATATCAAAGATAAAAATGGTCAAATTTATGAGTCTTCCAAAAAGTCTAAAATTGTCATTTTTTGTATAATAACTTAACCATGAAACAATTTTAGTTTTACAGCAACAAATTTTCATTTTAAAAAGACTATTCTTTAAACTTACAAACACAATAATACAACCAGAATGAACATAACATAAAATAGTAACATATTCAATGAACGACCCCTAATTATACCAATAAGATATTATTGTTCTTTTATAAGTATATTTACATATAGACACATATAATAGCTGTAATCATAACTAAATGCTACCTACACACACAATATTTGTTTCTTCTCAAAGCCAATTCATCATATTTTGACACACATAATAAAAGGTACATGACCATAAATAACCAATACTAACTTGTATTCTTTTCTTGCGTTAACTAAGTACAACTAGTACAGAACCGCCCTATGGGCACACAAATATTTAGTGTGAGCATATGTATCACCTTTTAGTTACTTTGTCTCTTATGTGGCTAAAAAGGCACCAGGTTATAGACACACATACTACTGACTCATGTCACAATACGTTTATCTACTGTCTCTCATAAAAAAAAGTATGACAATCTTAATCGATACCTGTGGCTGATTGTGACCTATGGCCTCAGTGTTCGAGTATGACTAATATTTGTCACATTTGGTATAATTAAGTGTGGTTAAAGTTTTGATTATCTATATAATGGCCACACAAACTAATTTAAATGTATCCAAAAACAGTCTCTAAATTTTTTTAGTGACCTTTGGCCACACTTTTAATAAAAAGTGTCACAGGCCGTTTTTCGGAAAGTGTGACCGTAGGTCTTTTTTGTACTAGTGTGCTCCAATAATTGATCTTGAACATGAACATCATCATTATCAATTACCATGTCACTTCCTTCTACATCTAGTCTCAAGTTTGATGACTCCATTTCTTCTTTAAGGAGTTTAGAATCAGGAAGAACCCCATGCTTGTCTGACCACCATGAAGAATTCTCATAAAACCCCACATTTCTTGAAAGATAACACCTTCCAAAATTAGGATCACAACATCTCCAACCCTTTCTTTCTTGATCATACCACCAAAATATGCATCAAACGACTTTCTTTTCCATTTTACTTGGGTTTAAAAACATAACACACATACACACCCAAATACACGGATATGACTTACATTACGCTTGATCTCCAAGAGCTTTTTAAACGATGATATGTAATCAAGATTTTGTTGTGAAATTCTATTGATCACATAGGCGGCTATTTTTATAGCTTCTGCAGTTCTTCCCAATACTGCCCTGCAACATTTTTGTCTTGCATTATACTTTTGCAAATCTCACCCAAATGTCCATTCTTCCTCTCAGATACCCCATTTTGTTGTAGGGTATTTGGGCAAGTCAGTTGGCATTTAATTTTATTTGTTTTTAGGTACTCACTGAATTCTGTTGCGAGATACTCCCTTCCATTATCAGATCGAAGACAACCAATTTTGTGCTTTGTTTCTCTTTCATCTTCCACTCTAAATTCTTTGAATTTGGCAAAGGTTTCAGAGTTTTCAACCATGAAATACACCCAGACATATCTTGAGAAATCATCTATGAATGTTACCATGTACTTCATACCTTTGACAGAAGGTTTATTAACTGGTCCAAACACATCGGAGTGTACAAGCTCTAATGGTGCTTTGGACTTGTAATTTGATTAGCCAAATGGCTGCTGATGAGCTTTACAGAATTGACATCCAACACACACATCTTTTCTGACTTCAAGTTTTGGAAGACCTTTAACCATCTGCTTCTTCATTATTAGATCAACTTTATCAGAACTCATGTGACTCAGCCTCATATGTCGCATATATGTATTTTGATTTCTTTTTGTTTTATCTACAAAGCCATTTCTGCTGACATTACATAGATGGAATCTGATCGTCTTCCTTTCAAAATGGGCTTCGATGGAGTCTCGAATGCTTTGAAGATCTTGACATCATCCAGTCCAAACAACACATAATGACCGATGGAAGCTAGATGCTAGACTGAGAGAATGTTTTTCTTCATACCTAGGACATGGTACATGTTGGATTAGGTGTCTAAGCCATAACTATATTTGGTATGTACTTGACCCGGTTGTAGGATGGTCCTTTTGGGTTGCCTTCACCAGAGCAACTTGACTGGATGAATAATGGAGAAAGAGGTTATCATGGTTTATTAATATATTATATGAATAATATATTGAAGGAGAAATATAGGTTGTGGGTCCCTTACGAAAGGGATGGACGA